GAATAATATCTATACACAACTTTCAAACAATATTACAAATAATTTAATCAATAAAATTTTACTAAAATTTCCAGTGTTAAATTTTCACATGAATATTTTTTTTATTATTTTCCCAGTAAAACAGATTCAAAATTTTATCGTTAAAGTCAAATATTATTTAATCTTTCAAAATTAATCGCTTGTTATTGTAATATTGTTTTAATTAATTTATTATTATAAAATTCAAATTCAAAAATTACTTTTCCATCATTTTCCCGCCCCCCTCATTTTTTTTTATCTCAGGATTTTGCTTTTATGTGAGAAAATACTCGAAAGATGAATTGGAAACTTGAACATTATCGATTGCCCGGCGGTGCTGTAATTTTTTATGCATCTCTCTTTTGATTCTTCACATTCTATATATATATAGAGAGAGAGACGAAAACATGTCGTCTACAAAATTTTCCTTGATGGGGTCAAAGAGTATCACAGGGTGGAAAAAAAAGGGATTTGAGGTTTGAGGCAATTCTTGTATGAAAAAAAAAAAACGAAGAGAAGAGAATATGGGATGGAAGGGTATAGGAAAACCACAGCGTAGAGCCTGGGGGTGTGGAACTAATCGAGTAATTTTTTTGGCATCAGTCGGTGAATATCAACGCTACCTGTGAGCCTGCGTGGCATTAAGAACGACAAACGATCGTCAATCCATCTGGCTCAGTACGACTATCCACATCACGTTTTGCACTCTTTTCTTCCCCCTCTATCTCTCTCTCTCTCTCTCACCCTATATATAGATATATATGTGTATGTATTTACAGCATCCTATAGAAAACGTTTTAGTTCTTTCGCTGCCACATTTTTCCTTACAGTAAATTCCCCCCAGGGAGTAACCACGAATTAACAATAAATTTAATATCACTCTTTTTATGCCTCCCTTTTTTTTATAGTTCAACCACCATTCATTGCCTCTCATTTCAAAATCTATTGTTTTTTTCTCTTTAAACTTTTCTCCTGTAATTAGTTTTTATATATCGTTCTATTTTATTTTAATATTTAGAAATAATTTTAATTGAAAAAAAAATTGAAAGAATCCCCCCCCCCCCTTTGAAAAAAGGTCAAGACAATAATTAGAAGTAAGAACAGGATCGAGAACAAGCTCTCCCTATAGATTCTAGAACTAAACTTGCAATAGTCTCATTGTCGACAAAGTTTAACTCTTTTTAAAACTCTCTTTCTCTCTCTCTCTGTTAAACCGGCGTACGTTCAATTTCAGACGTGTGCGAACAAAATTTTTCTCTATCTCATCGTTTTTGAGCACTTTTTATCTTTAATTGTATTTTCTAAATTGTTTTCTCTTCCTTAACTAAATAACGATTCGAAAATTTTTCTAAATTATACACTGAACAAAAATTTATTTTATTAAATTATTTGATTTAAAAATTTTTTTTCACTATTAATTGGGTCACTAATTCGAATTAATTAAGAATTTTACTAAATCAGATTTAGAGAGTAAAATTAATTTAATAAAAAATAAATGAAAGTAGTAATAAAGAATAAGAGAGAAAAAAACATTTTTCATGGTAAAATGGAAAATTTCTCACCATAAAGAATTTTTTTTTTCTCTCTTTCTCTCTTGTAGCAAGGAAGCAATAACAATTTACGAAGCCTGAGATTCTATCATGAGAAGCTGCGGGTGCCATAGAAATTTTTGTTCATTGAAGACCCTAACTTGTATTATGTATGCATTTGTCGTGTTTGTCAGTTTTAAGTCCGACTGTCCACTCACTAATTGACCCTCTTGTATGTCTGTCTCAAGTGGTCCAAGCAGTATCTACATCCAGCATCTTCACGATTTACTCATAAATATACCGTTCTTTGAAAATTCCACCTATATGTCTTTGTCATTTTTAATTCACTGATCAATTTTAATTTCACACTATTTTTTTTTTGTAATTCCTTTATAAAATTATATTTTAATTCCGTTTAAAATTATATTTTAATTTTTTTTAAAATTATATTTTGATTCTCTTTAAGATTATATTTTATTTTTTTTTTTTTTTGAAATTCTATTTTGATTCTTTTTAAGATTACATTCTTTCTACAATTACAATTTAATTCCTTTTTAAAATTACATTTTAAAAATTAAATTTCAATTTGAATTGAATTATTCTTTTTTAGTTTCGTTTACATGTAAGTAAATTTTATTCGTCAAAAATTATTTAATTTATAAATTTTATATAACATGAAAAGTTAAAAAAGAAAAAATAAGTTTAAAAATAAATCTCTAGAAGCTGACTGGGAGGAAAATATATAATCCTACTGACTAGTCCGTAAAGCCTGTATAAGAACTTGCAGTCTGACGTAATTCCCATTGCATCATGCCTCCTCTGTAGCGAATCGCGTAAATGCGAGAGGATCGGACTATAGTATATATCTGTATATATATATATATAGTATACAGTTGTATGACTATTGGCGTCGACTATTATTCTACAAACGACCCTCAGCTTCCCCTGGCTGTTTACTGCACATTCGCATATCCTTGGGAGTTTGGAATTTATGGGACGAGGTCAATGAAAAACTTAACAATTCCTTGCACATCAAAATCAACTAATTTAAAAATATTATATTTTCCAAATTCCCTATTAAAATTTAAATATATTCATTCTTTTCCCTATTTTTTGTTATCAAGAATCGAATTTTTTTTTGCACTCATAATTACACATTTTTTTTTTTTGAAAATTATTAATTAATAATAGTCAAACTAAAAAGTGATTTAAGTACCACTAGTTTCAAATAAATGTTTAACCTATTCTGAGGGGAAAGTAAATCAACGTAAACTATGAAGCAAGAAGTAAAGTTTCTTGGAACGTTCCAATTTTCATACTGCCGTTAATTGAATTATGCGTATAACCTAAAGACCCATTTTCACTCAAGACAAGTGTATTTATTTTTAAAATTAAAGTAGAACGTTTAAAAACCTGAAAGGGGTTAAATTATCGCACCCTTATTCGAAAAAAACATATCTAAGAACAAAATTGCCGGATTGTGTTTTATATAGCAAAGCTTTGTTTCTCAATTTCTGCTATTCCTTCAGAACTCATCGATTTAAGGAGGGTGACCTTCGCGTAATTGAGAAGGGAGAGAAATAAAGGCTAAACAAGATTACAATTTTGCATTGTTATACGCTCTATATAACGAATACCTAAATTCCTCTTGAAACTTTGGAATTGGCAAACTGGAGGGTGCCTTGCAAAAAAAAATTCCTTAGCTCTCAACATATATACAAAGTCAACGACGCTTTTCATATACACAAAGAGAAAATATACATCGTTCAAAATGCATTTAATGTCAATAAAAAAAAAAATTGCAAATTATTAATTCTCAACTATATCATTTTAATATATAATGTACTCTCTAAAATCGCTACACTATATATATTCTTATTAATTAAAATTCATTAATTAATTCTGAACTCAAAAGGAACATCATTTGTGCTCTATATATATATATATATAACTTCTTTTATCCTTTGATCACCTCTCTCGCTCTGCATTCTACATAGTTTAAAATATAATTAAATTTTCCTTCACTATATACATATAGAATAATTTTCAAAACGTCGAACAAATTTAAAAGAAAATAGAAAAGTATCTTCAATGAAGAAAATAGATTCTCAAGCAAACAAAATAATTTACTGTAATGGAAATTTTTTTTTTTTTATTATTATTATTTCCGTATTTTCCCTAAAAAAGTGAGATATTTTTTTTAGAAATTTAAAAGAAAATAGAAAAATATCTTCAATGAAAAAAATAGATTCTCAAACAATAAAAATAATTTCCTGCGTAATGGAATATTTTTTTATTTCCGAATTTTCCCCCCAAAAATGTGATATTTTCTTTAGTTTAAAAGAAAATAGAAAAGTATCTCCAATGAAAAAAATAGAATCTAAAACAAACAAATAATTTTCTGTAGTGGAATTTTTTTTTTATTTCCGAATTCCCCCCCCCCAAAAAAAGTGGGATATTTTCTTTAGAAATAAAATTATGAAAAATCTTTCTCCTTTAAGTTTAAGAAAACCCTTACAAGGTTATAAGGTCTGATTGATGTGAGATATTTATTCGCCCTACGCAGTAGACTGCTACTATTGACAAATACTTTGTGCGTGTATACTGTATACATTTAAAGACGCACTCATGATTGATAGTCAAAAAGAAAATTATAATTCTCACAAATAAAATATGAAATTCCCTGGTAATCCTCTGTCATTTTTCGAAAAGTTGAACAATTGTAAAATATATTTATATTTTCTAAAATAAAAGCAGTAAAATATATTTTTATTTTTAAATTTGACATGAAAATCAAAATGATAATGAGGAAAAATTAATTGTATAAATATCAATTAAAGCATTGTGAAAAAACTTTTAAGAAACTTTTTTTTCAACTTTCTAAAAAATGAAAGAAATAAAAAAAAAGAGAGAGAGAGAGAGGGAGATACAATAAGTAATGGTCCTTAATGGACGAAGCGAGTTTCTAGCTACGCCGCACGATATTACTTCCGCCTCTTTTACCAACCGGATCTTGCTAGGTCTCTGCTAAAATAACAACGAACCCTATCTTCTTATAACCTGTATATACGTATATATATATATATCTTTATACCGTCCGACATCGTTTTGTGATCTTGACAAGCCACCAAGTAGCTCAACAAGTTATTTTTATAGGTCTTTAAAAACACAAAAGACATATATATATATTTTATAATTCGTCTCTATATAATAATCGCGTTCAATTTTCTCCATATCGTGTTTCATTTCAAGTTATTTATATTATGATAAATATTACACGTCAGCATAAAAATAAATTTAATTTTGCAATTGCCAATAAGCATATTTTGCATTTTTAATTATATTTAAAAAGAACATTTAATAAAATTAAAAAATTTGGAAATTGTCATTAATTTCTAAAATAATAATTAAGAAATAAATTATATCAATAGTGTTAAAAATCAAAGGACTTACAAATATAGATTCCCTCAATGGAGCGATATATATTTCATCAGAACCTGTTTTGAACTTCCTATTTCTGGACCATTTTCATCATTCTTTTTCCGGTGTTTTAATCTGAAAAATTCAAATCGATTAATAAAGACGAAACACTTGATGAAACTAAACTAATTTTAATAACATTATTCTGTATTGAAATATTACGCAAACTTACAACTATTCTCATTTTCCAGATATAATATTGTCAGGGAAAATATCACTCGCTTTTTAAAATATTATCGATCACTCCTAAATGATTTAACTAAAAAATACTAATTTAACAAATTATTATAAAACGGTCGCGGTTTTAAAAAAAAAAACAATCCCGAATTTCTGATTTTGAGAAAATATTACTGTAAGAATTTTATTGCTAAACGATCGCCGTTTTAGGAAATACGAACACTCCCGAAACAATAATTGAAAATTTAAACAAAAGAAGAAAAGACGATCGCGATTCAAAAACTTCGTACACTCCCGAAAATAATAAAAATAAAAAGCGAATTTTCCATCTGTAATTCATCTGACATTTATGACGATTAACCTTTGTTATAGTACCTGAAAGTAAACAAGCTCTTAGTAAAAGTAATAAATAATATGAAAATAAATTTAATAATCTAAAAAATTGTACTCACTCGAAATATTAATACTCTCAGTAAAAAATAAAACAGCTGCGATTTTAACGATCGCAATACTGAATAATAAGATTTACAAAAAAATACCCGAAAAATTTGAAACTGCAAATAAATAAAAAGATTTTTAATTAAAATTCAATTTAAAATTCTAAGTATTCTCTAAATTCTCAAATAGTTAACATTTTGTATAATTTAATTTCAATTTTAACTAAAAGTGTTAAAAAAAAATCAAAATTAAAATGTTAACTAATTTAAGTAGAGATAGTAGGGCATAATTTAATTTTTTGTAATAGTAATAAAATTTTCATATATGATAAATATAGATTAAAATATAAATATAATTATAGATAAATATAGATTAATATATTAAAAATATAATAAATTACATATTCCTGAAAAAAATAAATGATTATTTTAATTAAAAAGAAATATTATTTCTCACCACGATGAATCAACTGAAAATAATGAACAATTAAACAAAACATTCACAAAACATTTAGTAAACAGAACAAAACACTTAACAAACATTCACAGAACATTAAAATATAAGACAACATAGTGACAAAAAAATGAAACATTGAAATAAAGTAAATTTTCACTGGTACTCCAGCTACTTTTTTTTTACTTACATTTTTTTACCCGATTTCCCTACCTATGGCTATATTTAAAACGAACATAAATGCCTATTTTTCCCGAATTTTCTGCCTAAATTTATATTCTGAACGAAACTAATACCGCCCAGGTGCAAAATGACCTACACTAGTGTTAACGTCCCGGGACGCAACCGTCACCTGAGCGATCTTTTCTGAAAAGAAAATATTTAATTAGTGCATCATTAAAAAATTATCAAAAACTATAAAATTTTTAATTTCACATGCATTAACTTTCAATTTTTGAGAATTAAATTTAAAATTTACTATCCAAATTGATAAATTGTTAACAAAATCAATTAATTTGATTATTTAAGTTAAGTTAATAAAATTTAATAAATTTACTTTAAATTTACTTTTTTTATGGAAAGAAAGTTACTTTGACTCTATCAGAAAAATTACAAAACATTAAAAATATTGAACATACAGTAAATAAATAACATACATATGAGGAGCATTTTTTCAAAACCTAATTAATCCATCTTTAAATATTTTCTGCAAACATAATTTTTATTCATAAAAATCATGTTTCAAAAAAAATTCAAAAATGTATTAGATTTTAAAAAATTGCTTCTCATATATAAATAATTAAAAAAACATTGACAATAATATTAATTTACATAGTATTAAGGTAGTAATCCACAAAACATGTAATATTTTAGGATGTGGGGAGTGTTAGAAATTTTGAGGGGCTAAATTTCCAAAAATATCAAATGCATTTTTTTTTAGATTACTCCCAAAAAATACTAGAAAATAATACATATTGTCAATGGTGTCACCATGTTGTCAGAATTCCTTCCCTGTTTTTATTAAATTTTAATATTTTACTTAAAATAAAAATCTACTTTTTATTAAAAAAATGAAGAAAATTCAAAAATTAAGTATATCTAATTTTTTTTATATTAAATAGATAGAAATTAATTTTCAATTTATGAATCTATTTAATTTGAATTTATAAAAAAAATGACTATTTTAAACAGGGAAGGGGTTAAATAAAACAGGACTCACCGATCGGCGAATCCCACGTCGGGGCAAAAGTTACATCGCCACTTCTCGAGCGCTTCAGGTCTGCTCCCGAGGATCCCTCTGTCTTGCGCGCACTTCTGCGCGAGGCCGGGAGCGTTAAAAAAAATTTTATAAAAAAAAAGAAAAAAGAAAACAAAAAATTTTATAAAAAAAAAGTATGCAGGGACCACTTTTCTTCTTCCACATCCTTCCTGTCCTTCAAGTTGTTTATTGGGCATGGACTGAAAAACACTGAAACAATAAAAATTAATTAAAACTTAAATAATTTACAATTGTATTCCAAAATCCTACAAAATATTGACAATATCCTACAATATTTACTGTAATAATGTTTAAAATTAACCAACTTACCTATTGCGATTTTTCGCAACGTGTTAAAGGTATACGATGACACCATACTCTCTCTATCTCTTTAAATAGATGAAAGTTTCTTCCCTGGAATAGACTGAAAATAAAAAAAATCATATGTAAAATAAAGGATTTCTAATTAATTATTCTAATTCTAATTATTACAATTAATCCCAAAATTATTTATTTAAAATAATAGATAAAATTATCAATCAATTAATTTTATTTCTTTTTATCACAATTAATATTTCTAAAAAAATTTTTGAAGCATTGAAAACTATTTTTTACTAGTATTTATTATTTAAATAAGGATATTTTCAATAATATCTATTTATTATCATTATTTCTAATTTTTAAAAATTTACTTTGTTCAAAATTAATCAATGAAAAAGGAATACTTACAATTTGCGATTTTTCGCGACGTGTTAAAGGTACGATGACTGGACAAATCTTCCTGCTACTGGACCAACTGCCTAAAAAAATAATTCATTATATTATAAGTGTAAAATAAAATTAAAAAAAAAATCCTGAATATTGTAAATTATTAGATTATTCTAATAATTGTACATATTTTTATTTCTAAATATTTAAACAAATAATATGTGTTAATAACATTAATCATTATCACAAAATATACATAAATTAAGAGAAAAAATTAAACAACTTACATTGAACAGCGACTCAGCAATGCCAGATCTCCTCCAGGAGCAGCTCTGCAACAAACACCCATCCTTCATGATTGGACACCTATAAATTGAGAAAAACATTATTTAACATAAATACTTAAAATAAAAATTTCAAAATAAAATTAATATATATAGTTGATTTTATAAAAATTAAATCTTTTCGTAATGTCAATTTTGTATGGTGTAAATTTTAATTAACACAATATTTGTCTTATTAATTAAGAATAACTTTAATGTAATTTTTATCAAAAATTGTTTAAATTGTAAACTTTGTAAGTAATTAATAATTTAATAGATAAAATTTTCTGTATCAAAAGAAGAAAAAACTTATGATAATAAATATTTGTAAAAAAAAGATACAAAAGAGAAAGAGAGTACTCACTTCTTCGAAGATTTAGTAAAAGTTGTCACTTGTCATCTCATCTATGGATATGAATTTTATCCAAATCCTCTCCAAGTCTGAATTCTGTTTAGACAAATAATAAACAAAAATTGTTTAAATAAAAAATTAGACAACTTTATTTTTAAAAATAGATATTAAATTTTATCAAATTTAAAAAGAAGTTTCAATTATTTCATATATTACAAATAAAAAATTAAAACAAGAAAATAATTTATTATATTTACAAATATAAAATGAGAGTGTTAAAAAATTGTATAATGCATAATAAAATTGCTATTAAAATGTAAGATAGAATTTTTTGAAAAAAATGTGTTATATTTAAAAAAATCAGTAAAACTCTTTGTTTTTATAAATAAATATTCACCTGTGTGGAGAAGAATTGACGCCGAAAGGATTAGCACTCTAAGTCCTTTTTTCCTGAGATGAATTTGTTCTACTTTTAGCTCTGCAAATAAATAAAAAAAAAGTTAAATAAATATACGATACAAATTTTAATATTAATAAAATTTTGTTTTTTAATTTTGTCTCCAAAATATGGCGGAGAAATATCCGAACAGAATTATAATTGAAATGTGAAATTTGTTATTCAGTAATTTTTAGGTTAAAATCCAAAGTATGATCAAATTTGACAAAATATTAAAAAATTTTCATATTTACCAACAAAAATTGGATAAAATCTTGAATATTTATATCAAACTAAACTTAATTATTGAACTATATTTATAATTGACATTAACATTGTAAGATTCTTTTGTTTTGCACGAAATATTTTGTAACTCTGTCAACAATGATTATTACAATGTCTACTGTAGTGATCAGTCTTACCAACCAATTACACTCCAACTAAAATAATTATAATTTTTTATACTACTCTTGAAGTAACTTTATTTATTATTTTTTTCAATTTTATTAACATTTAATTAATTTATTTTCATTATTTAAATTGTTCTATATCAATCAACAAATTCTAATGTACAAGAATGCTGTTATATATCTTCACTATAGAGACGGTAATGTGAAGTCACAATATGTGTAACAAGTCAAAAGTACTTTTATTCATTTTTAATTATTCATATCAAACTGCACTTACTTACCAACAAATATGTATATAATTACGGTTATGATAAAAAAAAACACTACACGATTAAATTCTGTCGAACAAAGAATACATCTTCTTCTGTGTGACGACGCCATTTGCAATAAGCGGCACTGCCAACCCAAGATAACAAAAAATAAACTTTTTCCACTTCTACCAACATAAAAATATTTCCGTTGATGGAAACCTAATTTTTTTCATTCATTCTTATCTAATTTTTATATTGATTATTTAACAAAAGATTATATTAAGATTTTAATTATATACTTGTATTTTTTTCTTTAACATGTCGATGCTAATCTTTTCAGGTTATGCTTTCGTGTCATAAAATTTTTATCTATTAGTTTTCTCTATCCTGACAATCAACCTATATAATTTATCAGTAATTAGTGAAAAAAAAATTTAATAATAATGTTATTGCATACTAAATGCTACTATATCCTAACAAGATGGCGACATTGTCATAGATATCAATCAATGTTTATACTGTTCCCACATTAATTTGGAAAAACTATATTTATATTCAATTTACTTAAATAATATAAAAACCTCAATACTAACCATAAATTACTTTGCTCATCGATTTATGATCCTTTAATACATGATCCATCCACCTGATATCATAATGCGATTATGCTTTCTTCGACCTTGAAAGCAGTTGACCAGTCCTAACAATGAATAGAAAATAAAAATATTTTTTTCAAGCTGCGCAGATCCTACGTCTGGAAGAGTCAACTGCTTACTGAAGTGGTAGGAGAAAAACGACCTATATTTATAGACTTTGATTGGCATCAAGAGCGCCAGCCAATCAGCGCTACCTGCAGTGAATACCCGGTCCAATCAGCGCACGGTAGACTAAGCGGCAGACTGAGCTCGAACTATAAAATAAAATTTTTCCACCACGCACGCTCAGTTCCAATTTGGACGTATTCAAGGCAACATCTGTGTCGCTTCAAGAAATTTTTTCCAAATGATTTTTAATTTAGCCATCATTGATTTCCGCCACTTTCTTGTAGTAGATGAGAAGAATTGAAGGTCAAAAGAAGAAAGAAGTACTTTTCAACATCAAGAAGTTTGAAGTTAAAGGTATAAATATTAAAATAATTACTTCACGTTGTAGATAAGAAATTAATAATTTGAGATAACGATTAAAATTAAATAAGAATTTTAAACATCAAAAAGATTAACGTTACAGGAATAAATATTATAATAATTAGTTCACGTTGTTGATAGGAATATAATAATTTGCGAAAACAATTAAAATTAAAGAAGAATTTTATCGAACTTTGATATAAAATTTATATTAATAAGCAGGATTGCGAACCTGCAGTAAGCTGAATGTCGCTGCAAACTGTACTACACTTTTTATTGGCTTATAACTTTCTCGGTAATTTACTAGCCAATAAGAAGTCTTCATAACCTGTAGCTATCCAGCCCTGTTGTTTATTAAAAGTGCACCAGAAAACTGTTACGAAAGCATATTTTTTTTTCGTTTTTTTTATTAATATTTAATGCACAATATAAAATATATCAATTGGAATTATTGATTTTAGAAACAGTGCAATTAAAAATGTCACATGGAATTTGCTCAAAACTGTCTTGAGTTACATACAATCTATGCTCACAGCTCACATGTATTCATTTATTGTGTTGACATTCATTTCACAAGATTATGTGTTTTTATATATAGTTTAACTATTTTAACTCGTCTTTTAAAGTACATCGTTTAATTTTTTTACATAACGAAAGTAATTAGCTTCGGGAGTGTTCGTATTATTAAAACCGCGATCGTTCAAGTTTTAGGTTATGTTTCCCCGTCATTTCGTCGGAAGTATTCCAATATTTCGAAAATCGCGTTTGTTTTCCTTTAACATTATTTTTCATAATTGTCAGAATATTAATCGGAATCGGTTCGTTTTTGTTTTATATATATAATCAGAATTTCGGAAGTGATAGAAATTTGCTTAAATCGCATGTTAAAATTTCGTAACAGTAAAAAAAATAATTGAAAACTTTTGTAATAATAATAATAATGCTGTAAGTGCGTGTTAGCTTTTTTATTTTTATATTATTCTTTTTTGACCTTTTTGAAAATTGAGTTTCAAGAAGAGAAATTTTCAAAGTTTTTAATCTTTAATATTTACATTTTTATTTCGCCTTTTCTCTTCCCCCAAAAAAAATTGAGTTTACAAGTTTTAAATTTTATTTTCTGTTATTTTTTCTCGTTCTCGAGAATTGAGTTTCCAAGTGGAAAAATTTTTCAAGTTATAAATTTTATTGTTATTCTTTTTCGTCTCTGAAAATTGTATTGGAAAGGTACCAAAACAGCAAATGCATTTAAATTTTCTGTTTATTTATAATATTCAAAAAATTTAATTTCTAGGTGGTGTGTTCAATTGTCAAAAAGGAAGATGTTATTTGAAAGGAGGATGTACACATTTCAGGAAATAATAATCAAGACTGGATTGGATAGCATTATAATCGAACGTAATAAGGTAAATTTTGTAATATTTACAAATTATGGTAATTATAATTGTTAATTATAATTTTGTATATTATTTTCAACATTTATTCGAAAATTACACTTTTCACTTAAAGATATTTATATTTTTTTTAAATATTACAATTTTTTAATTAAGTTAATTTCTTTTGGTATGGTTATTTATGAACTTGTAGGACTTTATATATTCTTATATTATTTTTGTATCGATTCGATAAAGTGGTATAAAAGTGGAATTTAGGCAAATTTTTCAATTTCTTTTAAATATTAAAATAGGAAACGAGTTAATCGTCACATTGAAATATTGCGTTTTTAGTCGTCAAAAAGAAAAAAAAAAATAATAATTCTTTCGTAAATGTTACTCACATTTGTCATTTAGTTAAAATATGGTATGTTTCTCAATCGGATGTTCTCAATTTCTGTGAATATTTTACTGGATGCAATTACAATGCTTTAATTTGAGCGGGTGGAATATCAACGCGAGCTTTTGAAAAGGGACTAATGAACGCTATTACTTCGCCTGTTCCATGTTCACTCTGTGAATTAATGACTGGGTATTCGCTTATTTATTAACTTTTATTCCTGCATATACGTTTTTTCCAGTAAATTTTTTTTTTCGTTCTTTTCACCTAGAAACTAGTTGGTTATTCTTTTTGTACGTTAACATTGATATTTTTCTTTTTCAAAAAAAAAAAAAAAAAAAAAATTTCACTACTGTTTTCAAGTGAATTTTGCCGCGATTTAAACATCAGCAATCGACAGGGAAGAAGATCGTCGCGCTATATAGAAAAGCTTTTCGAGATTTGGGCTTCTGTCCAATTCGTGGAAAGAAATGGGACTGGCCATATATTTATGGCAAACGCGAGCACTAACCCGCAAAACGTGGTTCGGGAAGCTCTCGGGCTAAATCTTGAGGTTTCCCTTAAAGGTCAAGCTTCTTAGCTGAAAAGGATTCTGAGTCACCGGAACTTGGGTTAAAACACTTTTTTCTTAAGGTCTCCTCTAGTAAAATACGAGTCTGAAAGGTTCCAATTTAGTCGCGTGGTGTATAATACTTGCAAACGAGGCGAGTGTTCCTGTGATTTATTTTATCAAAAAAAAAAAAAAACTATTAATTTATCATCTCATCCTTTTCGACTTTTAAATATATATAAGTCTCGGATATTTTAAATATTTTTAAATACTAATGAAAATTTACTGTTTTCATTTCTTTATAGTGAATTAAATTCCAATATTATTTATTTTAAATTCATTTTAATTAAATTATACTGAAAAATAGTAATACAGAAGGAATTTTTCAAATAAAAAATAAATGAAAATTTATTTTATCGATTTTAACTTTACTAAACGAATTATTAAAAGAAACTTGTTGACTTATCATTGAAGCATATTGTAATATTCCTCCATGTCGTACAGGAAAATGTTACGTAAAACTTCGATAAATACCTTGACTTTTATATATATGCTTTGAAAAGAAATAATTTAAAATGAACAATTTGTTCTTTCGTTTATATTTTTTTTTCCGTTAAAAAAAAAATTGATTAAAAAAATACTTTTTTGCAATTTAATAAGATAAAGTAAAATTTTCTATTTTGATTAAATTCTTTTTCATCTTTTTTTTTTACATATTTATTTCTTTGAAAATTATTTTTTCTTTTTAAAAACGAAACTGATTTCTTCGTGCAAAAATCCATTTTTCATTTGACATTCATTTCAATTGTTTCAACTACATACATATCTTATCTTTAACATTCTCGAACGTTGTACTAACATCAATAAAATAACCGGGGGAAAAAAAAAACGGCGCAGAATTCATGAATCACACACATGACGATTCTTTCATCCGCTGATAGGGTTCAATCTTAAACATGTAAGTTACAATTTACCAGTTGAGTAAAATCAACGTTGAGTCATTCAATCGCGATTGCTCTTCGCATTATTCATAAACTCAATGCACCTTGTTTACCATTCCTTCCCCCTTCTATATACATTATTATAAAATCTGATTATATGATAAAAATTTCAAAAATAATTTTTTTTTTAAATTAAAAAAAATTCTTTTTTCGTTAAACAAATATAGTATTGTTTAAATCATTAAATGTGAAAACAGCGTAAATTTACTTAAAATAGAAATTCGAAACGCTCATTCAAAAAAAAATTTCTATACGTAAAATGAAAACGTGTCAATGGAGTTATTTACGTCTGCACCGCGTGTATATTATATTATTTTTTTTCTTAAAAATAAAAAAAAAAAAAAAAAGAATGTACTTCTCACGAGTATTGCGACATTGTACGTGTGTTCCGCTTCATGAAATAGGAAACGTAAGTTAAGTTTGCACGCGGCTATATAATGAACAGAAAAATGTAAACTTTCCGATGGCTTACTTGTTCTAACAATAACGTGTGAAGTATTCACGTAAATAGACGTGTTTTGTTGAGCCTGTGCAACACAGAAGAGTATTTGGGACAATGCATATTAGCATCGTTAAAATTACGAAAGATAACGCATATATATATATATGTATATACACTATACGTTATCTGATATATGTAGAAAAATATTTTTTTTGTTCAGTTTAAAAAAAAAGATGAAGAAAAAGAAGGAGAGAACATGCGGTTGGGAATTATCTTAATAACACTGTGTGTGTTTGAATATGTTTAGGATGACTTTTGAATTGTTAAACATTAACCAATTTGAAAAAAAACGGATATGACAAGTGATTTATTTTCAAAATTCTTGCATAAGACAAATTTTAATGTTATTCTATTATTTTTAAATTTGCAAAATTGTTTATTTCAGTTTTTTATGAGATTCTATTCATTTTCGATAAATATCTATCAGTGTTGGGTATAGTAACTAGTTATTAGTAACTAAGTTACTGAAAAAGTTACTTTACTTGTCACTTATAACGTAACTAAGTTACTTTTTTTAAAAGTAACTTGTAACGTAACTTAGTTACTATTTTAATAGTAACTTTTAATTTTAAGTTATTTCGTTACTTTCTTTGCACTTTTTTATTGCTTTAAAAACTTAATAATTTCGCATTTCAAAAAAAGCGCGCAAAAGAACATGGTTGCAATATAGGGGATTTACCTGCATAATTTAAACAGTGTATAAGATTTTTTAAAATAAGATTTTAATTAATTTATTTATATTCGGAAGTTTTATATAGACTTTTGTTTAAGAGTTTATAAAAATAATTTTTAGCAACCCCGTGTCGAAATTGTACCTTATTAATTGATTTGTAAATTAATTTTTAACATGGCAAACAAAATCCATGATTATAAAAACTAATTTTCTAATAATGATAATATTTTTAAAATTTTTATAAATAAATACTTGGATAGGTTAAACATGGATGCGTTAAAGAATTAGAAGCAGCTATAGCGAAAGAAAAAAAAAAAAGAGAAAATTCGAAGAACAATTCTCATATTCTTCATCACAGTCAAATAAGAAGCAAACTCTTTTGGAAAACTGGACTTCCGATTCAAAGCTAGTTACTCAAAAAATATTGGATAAAAAAATTATGGATTATGTAATAGAAGTGTTGTAGAAAAATCATCTTTTAAAGACCTAGTGTTACTTAAAAGAAAGTAACTTACCCAACACTGATATCTATATCTATCCAATATTTGAAATTAAAAGAAAAAAAAATTTTTTTTTTTTAATATTTAAGTAATAATTTTTATTTGTTACAGGTGAGCTGGTTTATTTAATTTTTCAATCTGCAAAATTTTTGGTGAGTCAAAATATATTTATTCACTTTTTCGCTGATAATTAATTAATTCGTGATTTAATAATTTAAAAATGTAGGAAAACAATTTACAATTTTGAAAATATTTTAATAATAATAATATTAATAGTAAAAAAAATAGTAATAATAATAATTAAAATGATATTTATAATATAACGCGAATAATACTACTACTACTAATAATAATATGCGTATCTAAAATTGATATTAAATTATTATTATTGTCAATAAATAATAATTATATAATTTTAATATTAGATTTTAAATCCCGTGTGGAAAAGTGATGTGGGCCCCCAGCGGGGGCCCTTATGGATCGCCCTCATGCCATGAGGGGCGCATATGGATGATCCATAGGGGCCCCTCATGGAAACGACATGCTCATCGATGAGGGCGCCCGCATGGGCGATCCATGAGGGTGCCCCTACGGGCGCCCTTATGGGCCCTCACGTTTGCCCTCATCTTGCCCTCAAGTTTGCCATAATGTTTTTTAATCAATAATATTAATAATAAAAGTTAATTAATAATAAATAAGCTTAAGTTATGAATAAATAACATATTTATTTAATAATTATTCAATTTTAAATTAAATTCTTACTCAAATTGAATTTATTAATTAACGTTCTAATTAATTAACTGTCGGATATAATTAAAAGTAATAATAAATTAATTAATTAAAAAATTAAAAAATATGTAATTTATGCATACTATTAACGGATATTTTCATTTTTCAATTAATTCATACATAGAATTAATGATTAAACGCAAACCTGAGAAATAAATAAATCTAACGCATGGGGGGAATCGAACCTACGACCTACGGACTATGAGTCTAACGCTTTACCAACTACGCTACGCACGCTACTTCAAAACGAATGCTAACTTCTTGATGCTATTTAAACTTCAAAAATACCTATCAAAGAAAAGTGCTTAACATCATTTAGTTAAAGTTAAGATATTAAATTATATTTTCCAATCAAATGCAATTTATAAAATATAATTAATTATATGCTTTATGATTATTATCATGAATCATCTCAGGTGAATTTTCAAAAAAAGTGTAAATATATTTTTATTAAAAACGCGTTTTTCGTGGTTCTGAATCATTATAAACATTAATTTTTTGGTGATAAAAAAATATTTGATTTTTGGACTTAGAAAATTTTGCTAATCGATCATGAGGGCGATCCATGCGGGGCCCCTACGGTGCCCCTCATGGATTCGCCATAAGTGTGAGTGTTATTTTCAAAAAAAGTGAAAATATATTTTAATTAAAAACGCGTTTTTCATTGTTGTGAATCATTATAAACATTAATTTTTTGGTGATAAAAAAATATTTGATTTTTGGACTTAGAAAATTTTGCTAATCGATCATGAGGGCGATCCATGCGGGGCCCCTACGGTGCCCCTCATGGATTCGCCATAAGTGTGAGTGTTATTTTCAAAAAAAGTGAAAATATATTTTAATTAAAAACGCGTTTTTCATTGTTGTGAATCATTATAAACATTAATTTTTTGGTGATAAAAAAATATTTGATTTTTGGACTTAGAAAACTTTGCTAATCGATCATGAGGGCGATCCATGCGGGGCCCCTACGGTGCCCCTCATGGATTCGCCATATGGATCAGCCCTCATGGGCCCCCGCCGGGGGCCCCGAACTCTTGAGGGCAAGATCGTGGCTTTTTCCACACGGGATATTACACATGTTTTAAATTTATGACTAATTTAATTCATTATGACACATTATTAATTTTTATTTCTCTAAACTTTATTTAATTTAAAATTATTTTGAATTATATTCTTTAATTAAATTATTCATCTACTTTTTTTAAATAACATAAAATATTTTTTATATCTGCTCATTAAATCAATACAGTGAAAAAAGAATTTATTTTATGCAAATAATCGATTACATTACTAATTCTATTCATCTAGACTTAATTACTAATTAAGTTTATTAGTTTAATTTATTTATTTTTCAATATTAAATTGTTTTATCTATTTAGTCTCAATAATTTTATGCTTCTTTAACATTGAAAAGTATTAATAATTTTTAAATTTGAATTGGTTCAATTCCATTATTGATTTGTTCAATAATAATCGATTCGATATATCGTAATCACGACAGCCAATCAAATGCCGAGGACGATTTAGGGAAAATTAATGTTACAATTTAGGCGGTAAAGAATTTAGATTGTTTGTCAGTGCATAAAAAGATTGATAAGGTGAAATTATTTTAATGATGATGAGATTTATTTAGTGTGACGTTGTTATGTTGAGCAGTGCTGCCATAAACGATGTAGCGGTCGCCGGCAGTGATATCAGGACGCCGGTACGGATAAATTTTCGTTATAGTTCGTATATGTTCGGGCGCCATCGGTAGTGAGTCCTGAACGGCGGAACGTCAGTTACTCTTCGGCGCTCGCGCGGAGGAGGTCGTATGTTTTGTTGTGGGAGTATCGCCGTCCCCTATAGTGCAAAAATCTCGAGTTTTTGTCAGCATACTTAAAGGTGATAACATCGCGATAACAAGTGTTTCGCTTTTTAATAAGTGCGTGTGTGTGTATGTACCTTGTTAGTGAAAAAAAAACAACAACAAAAAGGAAGTTATAAATATTCGTTTTTGGAGTAAAAAGGAGCAGTGACGCGCCGACTGGCGGGATTTGAAAGTCGGCGCAGTGTAATACGACGTTGTCAGTGCTGTGTGTCGGCGACCTTTCCAAGTTGTGTGAAAGCCGGCGACTTTAGGAGAATCCCTCTTTTCATACTTGAAAAAGTTTTGGAGAAAACATCAGTTTTTTTTTGTGTGTGACAGATCTTCGTCATATGATGGATACTGGTGTTAGTGATTCGTGCCGCGTCAATCAGACGGAACAGCGATCATCTCCGTCATTTTTTGGAGTGTTTACTCAGATCATTTTTTCATGTACCGTGTGATGCAGTGTTGATTCGATATTTTCTTCTTCTTCTCTCTTTGATAATTCTCTCTTGGGGAAAATCGTCACGTCATCGGACGTGTACGGCTTGGTCCTTGTATTAAAAAAAAACTGCTTTTTCGTCATGTACATGTGGGGTTAATGAATCTTCGATGGTGATAATAGGCACGTGTGCGTATTTACCGGTAATCAACGTGTTAGTGTGATGTACAAGATCATAATCGTGCTGTCATTGTGCAGTTTGTGAATCGCGATCTCATTTTCTGAGAATATCGTCCTTGCTCCTATTTTCTGATTGCCGGTGATCAGCCGGCGTCCGTTTTTTGCTCTTCCTATTTATTTTTGACTGCGCTTGTTCGTCGAGCTCCACTTCCAGCTGTTCTTCGGTTTCTTGTGTACACCAAATAATCCTCAACCATGGATATCCTGCCAAGTGGGAACATTTTTCGAGAATTGCAGGACATACACGATACCGGATACTTTTCGGCGCAGCCGTCACTTGAGGATCATTGGCAACAGGTAATCATCTTTGTTTATAGGTTATGCAAATTATTGTTTGTCAATATACTTAGGGGTTTGATTAGTTTCTTCATGTTGAATATGTTTAAAATTCCTCTTATTTATTTAAATACCTCATTTTATAAATTTTGAGGTTATCTCCCGCAATATTTAAGATTGGTATACTTTTTGTTTCATAACAATAATTATGTGTTTTATAAAGTAAAATAGTATATTAAACGAAAAAATGGAATATAAAGTTCTATTTTATATTCATTGATTTTAATTAAATGAGGTTACTAAAGTTTATAAACAAGCCAATGTTTTACTTTTAGAGAAACTTTGAATTAATTTTCTGACACTTGACGTGAATTGAAAGCCGTGAACTTTTATTAATATTAATTAGTGGTTAATGTACCGAAAAATTCGCTAAGACTGGAATATTGTTATTATAGGGGAAACCGGAATAGAATGGGATGCTGCGTCAGAATGGGGGGAAAAAAAAAGTTTTATTGTCAGGGGAGGGTTAATGGAGTAAAATGAATTCTTCAGTGTGTCACTTTTTTTTATTGACATGTGGCGATTTTAAATTATTACAATAAAAAAATTTATTTAAAATGAAATTATTAAATTATTTTAAAATAATTTCACTTTGAATATGTTATTAGTGAGTTGAACTCTAATAAACGATGTTATTATAGTTTCCATTATCCAATTAACTATTTAATTAGAATTTTGGCTTTATCTTTGATTTTTGTCTAAATTTCAGTTCGCTAATTGAATTACTGTGATAATAGAAAAATTTGAACATTTGAAAATTAGAAAGTTTATACTATAATAATTATCGGGAAATATGTTTAATGCAAATGATACATAAATGTGGAAATCATGATAAGCTCATGCATGTTTAGTAAATAAAAGAAGTTGTGTCTACTTAATTGTAAGAATTATTAATGATCTCCTAGTAACATAGTAAACATAGGGAATTCTTAATAATTTATAGAATTACGAGAGAAATGTGAGTTTCATACACTTTGAAGTATATACAAAATATATGTTTAAATGCATATAATTATTTATGTGAATATAATATAATTTAAATAATTACTTAAACGTGTCTGGAAATATTATTATAGAAATTTTAATTCTTTAAAGAAACTAGCGGTTGTAAATATCTGAATATATATCTATTTACAGCTCTTTAAACATTCTGGCATTTAAAAAAAATTCTATATACAGAAATATGAATATCAAATTATTATTCTATTAATATATATATATATATATATATATATATATATATATATATATATATATATATATATATATATATATATATATATATAACTGTTAAATTCAAATTTCTCTAATTTTGAAAAGTATTTACAGTAAAGTTATAATTGCAAATAGGAACATGAAACATATATATAATTAGAGTAATAAAACTGCGAATGTGTTGTGAAAATAAAATAAATTTTCAATCTTTCTTAGAAATAGTTTTAGTGTATATTATATATATATATTCTCGTAAAACAACGTCTCGAGACACATATCTTGTGTTATAAGTCTAACGATGCATTACGTATCCAGAGCGAATGTAATATTTTATATTTGGAAATTCTTGGCACTGTTCCTCTATATGTACGTACAATTTCTCATCGATGTAAGTGCACCCCATAGCATTTGATAGTAAATTACAATTAACTGCTCTCAAATCTTCACATGACTTGAAATAAAACTTTTCCGTCGTTATTAAAATCAAATATCTCCTTGAATGTTCTTTCATAAACTTTAGTAATCACCATTAAGTGTGAAATTTCGTGTAAAATATGTTTCCTCTTTGTTTCTTCATGATTATAATATATGTAGCAAGAATTCACGATATTTATGTTGTTTGGTCCATAGATAGTTTCTTCACTGAATATACTTTTTCTAGAAAAAATATATTTTTTTCTTATTTGGTATTCCATATTCTTGTGTAAAGTATTCCAAAAGTGTGTTGTAATCATTTTATATTTATAGGCAAGAAATTATTGAATTAAAAAAAAAAACAACAACAACAACAAGGGTAATGATTGTTAGGCTGGTAATTACTGATGATTTATCTTGACAGTCAGAAAAATACGAGACTTGTATCATTAGAATAGCGTATGAGTCATATTTAAGCATCCTAAATGATCGTCTGTTTCAATTAATGAAAGTGTTTAAAAAAAAACTGTAAAGAAAAAATTTTAAATGGTTTTTAAATATATTTTTAATTTTTAAATAAAAACATTCGCACAATTTTCGATTGATTATCATTCTTTGTTAGTTGATTAATTCTTAATTAACAACTAAAAAAGCTTTTAAAAAGTGATACTATTTATCAATTTTCAAATATCTAGATTTTGTTTGCAATTTAACTTAAAATTATTTTCTAATACTAAAATAGTGAAATTCTAAAATAGTGAAGTATTTCTTCTATGTCAGATTTCTCCTTCTTGTATCCATTATTAAATGCACAAATAAATATTAAAACTGCGCTTATTGAAGACAGTATATAGAGACCGTTACTCCTTTCTTGATTTTCATGTTGCTTCACGTGACCCTGAAAGAATTTCATCGCTTTAAGCACGCAAAGCACGTGCAATACACTGAGTATCGTTGAAGAGAGTTCTCGTCAACGACTATGTACGGCATATGTTGAAGAAGGTATTTTCAGCGATGATGAGTTGTATACGCAGGCATTTACTGCAAAAGAGTTTTGTCGGACATATTCAAAAATTTACATAACACACAACCACAAATTTTAATCAATCACTGTTTTCAAATTTGTTTAATAAAAAAAAAAAATCTTATTTTCTTGAAGTAACGAAAAATAGAAAAATACAACATAAAATATATATTTAGCTGTTTTTTTAAGTATAATTTTTAAAAAGTAGAAAATGAAATAATCCGTTTAGTTTTTTTTAGTTGGTCTATTTTTCAATTGTTTCTTTGTATCGAATTTAGTCGTTTTTATGTTCAGATTGTATTGCATTGCTTCTTTAAACGAAGCGACGAACCGGAAAATCTAACGTCTGTGTCACCTTGCTAGAATTCAATTTTCTCTCTCTCTCTCACTCTCTCTTGGTCCTTTTTGTATGCCCTGTCGCAACAGACTTGGCATGTAATAATACACCTTGAGAAAAATGCTAAAGGAGAAATAAGGAATCTGTTATGTACAATTATTATTAAAGAGACGTTATAACTCGGTGTTTATTTCTTAAAGAGAGTGAAATGTTTTTTCAATTTATTAGCGAAAGGCATTAATCAATATATATAAATATAAATTAATAGTTAATAATTGCTTTCGAGAAACTGATAATATATATATATATATTTTATGCACCAATTGGTATATGTATACTTAATACATCTCATTACTTAAGATATATACTTTCGCTTTGAAAAATTTTCTGCATCAAAGTAGGCTTTGAATAATGAATCGCGACTATATTTACATATATGATAAGCGACTATATAAATACCTAAAAAGATTTATTGGATGTGGTAATCTTAAATATCCTTTTTTTCTATCCAATATATATATATATTGCATTCTTATTTCCGTATATATTTAATATAAACTTTAGTAACCTCCGCATTCTTAGAAAATTAAATTTACTTTGTAAATTTTTCTTGTTAATTTTTTCTCTCTTTATTTTGACACTTAAGATGTGCTATTGAATTTTTTCTTCTTTTTTCCTTTAATATATTTATGCAAAAAATCTATAATTATTTATCCTATATATATAATCCATATATTGGTGGTGAATACCTCGACGCCAGGCGTCGCCAACTAGGCGCCAGTGGACATTCAACCATTAAAGTTTAATATTTATATCATGGCAAAATGATCTCGTAAATATTTCATTTCCAATTATTGTAATAATTTCAATAGAAGTACAAAAATAATCATTTATGACATATCCATCATTTTTTGACGTTAAAAAATAACGTTTTGTAAAAATTATTGTTACTATTTTTAGTGTTATGGCAAAATATTATTATTATTTATTATTACTATTATTATTATTATTATTATTATTGCTATTATTGGTATTATTATTATATTGCTATTTATTGTTGCTATTTTCACAATGGTGCAAAAAAACATTTTTTTTTTGCATGATACTTGAACTATATTTGGAAATAATTTGCAATGTTTTTTGTCAGTCGTTTGTTGGTAGCAAAAAATGAATTGAATATTGTTTACTGAGTACATAATGCACATGTTCTGAATATGTTTCTAAGAGTAAAAATTTCGTTCTGCATATACACATATTTATCGTGATGATAAGAGAGTAACAAGAGTCTTGTAATATTTTTAAACACACGATATATATGAAGAATGCAGTCGGATCACATATATGTATATATATATATACACCTGGAACGCAATATCGAGCGTATGAATATTGACAACAGATGGTTACCACCTGGTGATTGATCCATAAACGAGATAGTTTTCTATATACACTGCGTTTATATGTATATGCTTGGCACAAAGTTTAATACAACTTTAGCAGCTCGTACTTGAACGATTATTTTATGAAAGCACGTGGTCTTTGAAAAATAATAATTTGATTTAAATCTCGTATCTTTTTATAAAAATAATAATAATCTTTAACGTCCTTCGATATTATTATTATTATTATTATTATTATTATGTTTATTATTACTGTTATTATTATTATTATTCATTTTAACGAAAAGTTATTAATTTACATTTTTTGAGTGTGGAATTTTTTTTTATTCGAATAAATGCAAAGCTTTGTTGTTTCGGTTTTGTTGATTTAGGTTATTCGTTTGAGATATAGGGGAAAATTTTTTTGGAAATTTTTCTAAATCTTTCTAGGGGAAAATCATCATTGCTTTGGTGAACTAGTTGTCACATTTGTGTATAAATATATATATATTCAGTCAGACACAAGACATTTGCCGAATGGACTCTGACGTAACCCTTTTGTTTCACGAGCTTGACTGGATCCTCTAAGCCT